GGAAAGTGTGAAATTCGTTACAACGAGCTTGTTTAGTTTATATCCCATTAGATGATTATATTGATAACGTTACATGAGAAAAATAAAAGATGCTTACAATATTATCTCAGATGATCTCCATTGTTTCCTTGCCCTGATAATCAAATCTATAAATAAATCTAGTAACTTCCAAAATGCTACAAAATGACCCTGCTACAGACGGAAAAGATTTTTTTTGTAAGGAAAGTTATACTGCGACGTCAGTTTCGAATTAAGATGAGTGGCGTAAATTTGTGCTGGAAATTGGAGGTAGGTTGGGGGACTGGGAATCGTTGGGGGAAGACCTGCCTGGCTATGGAAATTGGAAAAGCCCATCCCTCAGTTACAAAAGTGTGTGTGGGGGGGTATACACCCCCTTCCCAGGATATACGTCCATTATTACGACCCCACTCATTGAGAAAACCACTTTTGATGACATTATCACTCGTTTACTGTCAGCAGTAATCCGGCAGGTTTGCTTGACACTGAATGTAAATATCTTTATGCCAGTGTTTTCTATTCTGAACATGAACTGTAGGCTTTTAATATGCCAATATTAATGTATGTTCTGTGAAATTAATGCCTGCATTTTAGTGTGGCATTTACATGATAAATGTAGGTTAAGGTAAAGGTATTCAGAACCTATCCCATAATGGTCTTCTACAATAATTATGAAATATTCCATTTAATATGCTTATAAAGGCAAACAATAATAGGACGCTACACAAACAAATCAAATGACTGATGACTGCGATGTAATATTTTGCTTAGTACTGTCGATTTGTTTTGCCGTGTAAGGTTCGGAGCAAGAAGTCAGTAAGTTTTAAGTTTGTTATTGTTTGGTTGTCTGACGTTGTAATTAGCTGTTCCCAATCTCAATTGGGAACAGCTTTTGTAATCGTTAAAGCTGTTTTTCCTTTTTTAGCTGTTCCAAATCTCAATTTTTGTAATCGTGACATCATCAGGGGTCACGTGACCTCAATTCAAATGTTCATTCTTTACATTCTAATAACTAGAAAAATACTTGACCGATTTCACTCAAATTTGGTATCCACATAGTCAGGGACGTGTTATAGATGAAAATTGATATCTTGACCTCATGTGACCGCTACTTTCGGTTTTACCGGAAGTTGTATTTAAACACACAAATCGTCATATCTCAAGAACTATACGTTCAATTGCAGTAATAATTTGTTTTTCTTTTCAATTGCCACTTTGGGAATTATTTGTTATCCACTTTATCTCAAACTTATGATACTCGTTGACAGTCATCAAAAGAGAAAATAAAGAACATTTTGGAACCGCTATGTGTATGTTCACAAACACCACCTCCAGTGGTCTGATTTTCACTAATGCAATCATCCAATCCAGTGTAATTAGAAAAAAAACTATATCAGTGTTCTAATAATAATAACTCAACTGAAAAATCAATGAAAACCATTGTAGCAATTTCTGCGATTAGTGTATTATTTTATATTTGTTTATGATATTTATGTGTTTGATTTAGAGGTCTGCCGATCATTGATCGCAACATCACCCACAAGGCTTTCAACACCTCAGTCATGAAAACGACATAAAAATCCAGCTCACATGTCATGTTTACTGGTTAAAGAGACAGTCTTGGCAAAGTTTTGGGATTTTTTCAAAAGAAACTCACTTCCAAACTTCTCCCCTTCTTCGACGGCCCAAGGTCTCCGGTAGCATCAGAGACAGTATTGTAGCGACGGTGCCGACAGGCCGGTGGGGGCGCTGGTGTGGCTCAATGGTGCCGTGCCAGCCCCTGCCGGTTGGCTTGTTGAGCTCGCCCCTGCGGCGCAGTAGCGCTGATTTTTCCTTACCTCAGGGTAAAGGAAAATATCCGGTGTGAATGCAAGAGGAGATCTATATTTGATTGTATATTTATATAAAAACTCCGTTTGCGTTCACCGTTGTTGGAGGTGTAATAAAGGCCAGAAGCCATTGGATCAGAGAACAAGCGTTTCTGCCCTTTTTCAGGCGTGTACAAACTCACAAAAGCGGCGACGGTACAGTATTCCGGTTAGTATGGAGCCGCCTCCGAAGACACAGAGAGGCAGCGTTTTCCAGTGGTGGGCAAATTTGCTATTTCAGAATCACATTTACATATACACTGGTCCGACTGTTATCCCTCGAAGAACGTAGGCCTACATGGACGCTGGACGCTGTCATGTTACTTGCCTCAAACTACCTGCGGGCAACCAGTGAACAAGAATTCGAACGGTTCAGGGGTACCGATTGATTTTAGTACTCAATTCCCAGGATACAGGTTACCAGGAAAAATCAACAAGGGTCCTTGCAGTGTAGTTGAATTGACCCACTTTAATAGCGCCCTCTTACTATGCCACTGTACTTCAAACCCTAAAACCAGTCTGTTTGAGTTGCATGTCAAGTGAATGACAGGTTGATGCATTTCATCAAAGCGGAAACTAAATGAACGCAAGGAATACATTAACTGACATACTAATGAAAACAGACCATGCTAATTGCATACTCTTAACATACTCGTAAATCAGCCCCATATCAGTGCAACATTGAAATTCAGTGCCTTGGAGGACATCATAGTTCCGCTCATGAATATGAAGAGTCCTGCCATATTCATGATTTATTCATAGTGGTGGTACAACATCTGTTCTACCTCTTAGATGGGATTTAACATTTTTCAATTCTAGGTTAACCCGGTCACCATGTTTATGACATTTAAATTTATGACGGGTAGGCCTAGATTCTGTAACTTCTTGACTCCAGTAATTCTAACATTCGACATTACTCACACGAAAATTATACATTCTGTTCCCGAGTCAGGTGTCATCCTTGTGCAAATTCTGAAACCACTTACGAATGAAAATCGTGATCAGCTAGAAAAGCCCACCGGAAACGAAGAATCCGGATAGGCTGAGACGCCTACCAATCCGCTCAATGGTAAACCAACAGAGACTTGGCAGCTCTATGGCTCCAGAGACGAAGGCGGCAATGTAGTCATTATTTCCAAGGACCGAGGCACTTAACGACAATCCATGTTTGTCACAAACCTACATCAAAATTTATAAAATAGCAACCCTCCTGAGAAACGTCCCGGTGTTCAACATCTCCATTGCCATTGTGGTCCATCTATTAAGCAGCAGGGTTTCATATGAAGCATAGGTTCGCCAATGGAATAATTACAGGAACCAGGAAATAGAAATATTTTATAAATTTTACAAAAAAAACCTTGATATTGCATCTTTGGGTTTCAATGAAACTTATATTAAATTTTCATTTTGTAATTTTAACCCATATTTTTATGCTTTTTGGTTTTTATGCTATTGCATATTTGCATATTAATGAGCGGAACTATGATGTCATCCAATGCACTGAATCTCAATGTTGCACTGATTTGTGCACAGAAAATTTCTAGATATTTTTAACCACTGCTATGCCAGATTTTATTTTCTTTGGCAATTTATTGCTGTGTAAGTATATGGCAATAATCCAGCAAAAATCCTTTTCACAGAAATAATCCCAGATAACAAATTTGGGGTTCACAATATGAACATGAAAACATGCAACCTGAACCATGTCTTCCTGGATTTATATCAAAGAAAAAGCGCCCTATTATTTTAGAATATCGAACGGCACCTCCGGTCAATGCCCAATCTTCGCCAAATCAAGTTCGCCTAGTGAGTGTTGGATTTTAGATCTTGAATCGAATACAGCGCCCCCATCACTGCATTGATCTTTGAAAAATTGAAGTTGTACAACGTTCACGTATTAGCACAGATCGAACGCTACAATTACCTTACAATTCAAGAGTGTTGTCTTATTGATAAACACGTATCCACCCATCAGAAAAATAATGAAATTGATAGACCTATAACATAATGACGTCAAAAACCCTGACAAGATAAATGCTGTTGTTTTGTTTTAATATCGCTTTCAGCTACTCAGGCTATTACTTTCTGCTACTCAGGCTATCGCTTTCAGCTACTCAGGCTATCGCTTTCAGCTACTCAGGCTATCACTTTCATCTACTCAGGCTATCGC